GTTACATATGGCACATGAGCAAAAGCTGCAAAGGATTAAACAAAGTCCTACTTACCTCAGCACGTCCTCTCCAGGGTCACCAAGATGAGTGAGCATCAAGAAGGCAGCTTCTGATTCTTAATGCTAATATCCAGTTGAAAACCAACTCCCATACATGAAATTACAGTAAGATGTACCCCAGCTGTTCCTTACTTTTCTGATCAGAATACAAAATGGTCTGCTTTCTGCCTTTAAAAATGTTGACTCTTAATTTTTTTTCTTTGTGTGTGGTTTGTTTGCTTAATTTCAATCTTATTTAATATCTGCAAGATTGACTGTGATAAAATAGTTTATAGTTCTAGTACATCACTGAAGGAGAGAATATGTAACATTTAAAATAATGGTTCAATTTATTGTTGAAATGTTAAATTTGTAGTTATGAACTTACAATAATATACATTTATTATGGAATTGTACACTTAAATGTACCTTAATAAATAGCAATATGGTCTATAATTTGTAAACACATTTACTTCTTAATTCCATCAATTAAAAGTAAAATACGAGCAAAGTTTCTAAGGATATCTGAAAATGTATAAAACCTTTACTGTGATACAGAATATTGCTTAAAAGAGATCCAATAATAATAATAATCCTTGCATTTGATATAACGCCTTATCACTTCTTCGAAACATCGCAAAGCGCTTCACAGAATATACTGTAAAGTGAATTGACTGTATATTTTGTGGATAATTACAGTAGTTTCTTTACTTAAGTGTATAAAAATGCAATGTCTCCGCAACGTTCTTCAAATCGTCATGTCCTTGAGTATATCAAGTAATTCTAGCCAGACTTGGCTTCTATATCACATCTCATTTATATGGCACAATTCCAATACGCCTAAATAGCTGGACAGAAGGCTATTTTACAACGTGTGGAATGTAGATGACCAGACCACAACCCGACCGCATGTTGGACTGTAGACAAATATGAATTTTAATGGCCAATTACAGTACATTTGTGGAAAAGTTACAGTGAAATAGTTTTGTAAGTCTATTTTACTATTGTGCATTCCACAATAAAATGTAAAACTGAATTTCACACATGTTTATTCCATTTGAGCAGGAAAGATAAAAAATAACTTTCTCTAGTGTATTAAAGCTGGTAAATAACCCTCACAGTCTATCAAGTCCTTATCATACTTGGAATATGGTTCCATAGGTGCCAGCAGCCTTTCTGTATGAAAAGTAGAACAAGATCTTAAAGCTATAATATTCTACATCTAAATACTGCTGTCATTTACTGTTAAAGGGTTTGGTAACTCTACAGGTTAGTACTAGCAATGGAAAATTACTTACCTGTAGATTGAGGGTCTTTTCCTCCCCCCTCCCATCCCGAAAAGAAAAGCATTACACTTTTTGCCAACTCACTTTGCATCTCTCCCCACTGCTCCTTAGACTTTCACTAATGGCATATCTCCATGGGAACCCTCCCTCCCGTATGTCGTCTAAGCGGACATTCTTTCTGTAAGAGCTAATACAAGCGGCCTATTCAATCTGTGCGCAGCACAGCTGAGCCCATTCATGTCCTCACCAATGTCCATACATTAGCAAGAGACATTTGTATACGGTTCAGTAGCCGGAACCCTGTCTCATTTGTCTTCTCCCTTGTCCAAGACTTGCTAAGGTTCTTCCACTTCTACCCTGGGTGAAGTCAGCTAAATTGACACAAACAGACGATTAAGCCTGGGATCAAATCTGGGACTGCAAGGTTCAGTAATTGTATATGGTGCATTTACTTTATACCATCAGGCAATAAAATAATGACTTTTAAAAATATATTTATTTAAAGATCTGCTCTTGTTGCCAGGACACCTGGAGAAACTCCCTCTCTTTCCAAACAGCGCCATGGAATCTTTAATGTCCAACTGAACAGGCAGATGTTGGCTTGTTGACTTATTCTCTTCTAAACCTTAGATCATGCCTGAAATTCAACAGCTCAGTGGAACAGTTAAAGAAAATATAGACCCTTAACATGTCTTAGTGCTTCACAATAATTATTATCAAGTACAGTGACTGTTTTGTCTAGGCAAAGGTAGTTGCCATGTGCAGCAGCAAAGTTGCACAAGCAATCATGAAGTGAATAAAGACTAATTTATCTGGAGGATTGTTGGCCAGGACACTGGAAGAACCTTCCTTCTTTTTTAAAAATAGTATCATGGGATCTATAAAGAAAATAGCCAATTAGGACCTTGGCTGGAATTACTTCAAAACCACAAGGACATAATTAATTCAATAAAGTTTAGGGAAACATTGACTTTTTTTGTTCACTGAAATAAAGAAACTACTATAATTATAGGTTTGTTTTTAGCAGCACAGTCACAATTTGTTATAGGTTTTCAGAAGAATTTATGCCCTTCATCAATGCTCTGAAACACATGGAATTAAAAGTAAAGGTGTTAATATATATTTTATAGATAATAATAATACATTACAAAAGGCAATTAAGCTATGTCCAGTAGAAGGATAATAATAATAATCCTTGCATTTGATATAGCACTTTATCATGTCATTGAGACGTCTCAAAGTGCTTCACGGAATACACTGTAAAGTGAATTGACTATATTTTGTGGGCAAAATGCGGCAGCCAATTGTACACAGCAGTGTCCCACAAACAGCCATGGATTGAGAGACCAACATTTTTTATTTTAATTTTTTTAAAAAAACCTGCAGAAAAGCCAATTGACTAACAAATGGTTGCTGCTAAATTCCTATCAACATTTACATAGTTTAAGATGGGTGGGGTGGGGAGTGGGAGCGAAGAAGAAATAATTGTCAAAACACAGGTATATATTTACACAGTCACACTGATGTCCAAAACTCAAAATACTGCAGATGCTGGAAGTCTGAAACAAAAACAGAAGTCACTGGGAACCCTCAGCAGGTCAGGCAGCATCTATGGAGAAAGGAAAGTGAGTCAACGTTTCGGGTCCACGACCCTTCATCAGAACTCCTGACTCCTGGTGTTGACACTGATGTCCACATCTGTCAGGCTACCCTGCTCTCAAATATTACTACTTGCCCCTTGAATGTACAAGATGATATCATACGTAGATTTGCTTTGAACATTTTTCTAATTCAGATTGATGTCCTCTAAAGCATAAAATATGCTGATCTTCATACCTCCAGTTTCTATCTCCCTGAATGACAGAAACTAGCAGCACAGCAAAGATCCATCCTTTGCAAAGGAAGACCTTTTTTTTCAAAAAAAAGGAAATATCTGAAAGTGATTGTGTGCATTTTAACATAATGTTTTTGGTAAAGCTATGAGATCATTACACACTGGTGTGAGCTATCTTCCTTTCATTTCTATCCTAGAAACATGTGGAATGAGAAAAAGTTACTTGACCCATCACATTCACTCCTTCCACAGACCATCTACCACATTGACTTTGATACGTTCCTTTCAATGCTGGTTGACTCCACCACTCCAATTCTATTTCTTGGGGGAAAGTTCATCTTAGTCCCAAGTCAAAAGCCCTGATTCAAAGTCTTAAATCAAAACTAGTCTCTTCTCGCCAAACAACTGGCGCCAGCAATACTGAAACCTTTGGGTCTTGAGCTACGGCAACACAGAAATGGGTGTCCTGTGAAGTATCATATTGGTCTGCACCTACTATATCCTCCAACATTGCTCTTAAGCAGATTCTGATTTTATTAAAAGATGTTAATCAGCACACTATTTATTACTTTTGTTTGGCATCTGTTCCGTGTATTTTAAACTGTGTGGAAAAAATGTTAATCGCTGGCGTTTCTTAAAGCTTTTTAATTTTAAACCTCCAGTAACCTTTTACAGTCTAAGTGAAATAGTCTGCTGTCAAAATCACCTGTGTGTGCCAGCCTCTCATCATTTATTAAAGTGACCTATATCTTATGGTCTAATTTGAAGATTGTCCTAACCATCGTCATTGCTCTTCTTTCTATCCTCTTCAACATCTTTCTGAAGATAGGGCCCCAAACCACACAAAGCGTTCAAAATGGCTTCACTGCTGATGGACTTTTGACTATTGCCATCGTAGCATTTGCACGCTTTCTTAATAGCAGTTTCACATTGTCTGGAAACGTTCGAGAAAAAATATACTCTAAACCCCACACAAGACCTATTTTGCGTAAATAAAACCTGCTCCCTAATTAATAAACCTCGATATCCATCCAAAACTATTTACTTTATAATGATAAGAATCCTCACATTTGACGTAGCGTCTTCCACATCAAGTGGGGTGTCTCAAAATGCTTCCCAGGATATATGTGAAGTGTAGTGACTGTGCATTCTGTAGATGAACGCTACAAAAGTTAACTATGGCATGTTGGCATTCATTTGCTTGCTGCACAACCAACTTTTAATGATATCAGTAATAACCCTTTCACTTTTACATAGCGGCTCATCATGTAGACGAGACGTATCAAAGCGCTTCGCTGGATATACCGTGAGGTGCGTATTCTTTGGGCAAAACGGGTTTCGTTTCAACAGCAACAGCAACGGCAACAACGTGCCGTTTCCGAGCTGCCCTTCGCGCCGGGACGGTGTCCGCTCGAGACGCCGCCCGACCCGGCCCCGAGGAGATGGGCGCGACCCGAAGGGCGATCTTCCGAGCCGGTGGCTACGGCTTCTCCAGTGAAGGGGTTCACGGGGCTCGACCCGCCGGGCGGAAACGCGGCGCGTGCGCGGGGGTAACTCTCGCGCTCCGTAAAAAGCGCTCAGCTGGGGGTGGGTGTGTGGGTGGGGGTGGGTGAGAGGGGGTGAGAGGGGGTGGGCAGCCTTGCCAGCTTGTGAGGGGGAGCCAGGCTTGTGGGGGGGGGCAGGAGGCAGTGATTGGGCGAGAGGCAGAGCCCTGGCTGTGTGCCTCAGGTCCTCCCTCTGCCTCTGCCTCTCCTCACGTGGTTGGGGAGCGCTGCGTAAAGCCGCCCCGGGAGCGGGGCTCGGGCTCACACGGGGCTGCGGGGCTGCGGGGAGGAGGAGGGGAGGGACATGGGTTTGCTGGTGCCGCCGAGGTTGGCCGTCCTGTCGCTGCTCCTCGGCTTTCACGCGGTGGCCGGAGAGGAGTCGGAGGGCAGTGAGCTGGGGCCGGAGAAGCGCTCTGCCGGCGGCGGAGGTGGTGGAGGAGGAGGAGGGGGAGGAGGAGGGGGAGGCTCGGGCTCTGTGCAGGGCAAGGTGCGGCTGTCAGTGCACAGCACAGGTGAGCAACACACACCGGCGGCAGTCAGTCAGTCAGTGAGAGAGAGAGTGAGTCAGTGAGAGAGTGAGTCAGTGAGAGAGTGAGTGAAAGAGAGAGAGTCAGTGAGTGAGTGAGTCAGTGAGTGAGAGAGTGAGTGAAAGAGTGAGAGAGTCAGTGAGAGAGTGAGTCAGTGAGAGAGTGAGTGAAAGAGTGAGAGAGTCAGTGAGAGAGTGAGTCAGTGAGAGAGTGAGTGAAAGAGAGAGAGTCAGTGAGTGAGAGAGTGAGTCAGTGAGAGTGAGTCAGTGAGAGAGTGAGAGTGAGTCAGTGAGAGAGTGAGTGAGTGAGAGTCAGTGAGTGAGAGAGTCAGTGAGTGAGAGAGTCAGTGAGTGAGAGAGTCAGTGAGTCAGTGAGTGAGTGAGAGAGTCAGTCAGTGAGTGAGTGAGAGAGTCAGTGAGAGAGTCAGTGAGTGAGCGGCTCAGGGAGAGAGTGAGTGAACGGGTCAGTGAGAGAGTGAGTGAGCGGCTCAGGGAGAGAGTGAGTGAGCGGCTCAGGGAGAGAGTGAGTGAACGGCTCAGGGAGAGAGTGAGTGAGCGGCTCAGGGAGAGAGTGAGTGAGCGGCTCAGAGAGTGAGTGAGTGAGCGGCTCAGAGAGTGAGTGAACGGCTCAGGGAGACAGTGAGTGAGCGGCTCAGGGAGAGAGTGAGTGAGCGGCTCAGGGAGAGAGTGAGTGAGCGGCTCAGGGAGAGAGTGAGTGAGCGGCTCAGGGAGAGAGTGAGTGAGCGGCTCAGGGAGAGAGTGAGTGAGCCGGTCAGGGAGAGAGTGAGTGAGCGGCTCAGGGAGAGAGTGAGTGAGCCGGTCAGGGAGAGAGTGAGTGAGCGTGAGCGGCTCGGACAGAGTGAGTGAGCGGCTCGGAGAGAGTGAGTGAGCAGCACAGGGAGAGAGTGAGTGAGCGGCTCAGGGAGAGAGTGAGTGAGCGGCTCAGGGAGAGAGTGAGTGAGCGGCTCAGGGAGAGAGTGAGTGAGCCGGTCAGGGAGAGAGTGAGTGAGCGGCTCAGGGAGAGAGTGAGTGAGCCGGTCAGGGAGAGAGTGAGTGAGCGTGAGCGGCTCGGAGAGAGTGAGTGAGCGGCTCGGAGAGAGTGAGTGAGCAGCACAGGGAGAGAGTGAGTGAGCGGCTCAGGGAGAGAGTGAGTGAGCGTCTCAGGGAGAGAGTGAGTGAGCGTCTCAGGGAGAGAGTGAGTGAGCGGCTCGGAGAGAGTGAGTGAGCAGCACAGGGAGAGAGTGAGCGAGCGGCTCAGGGAGAGAGTGAGCGAGCGGGTCAGGGAGAGAGTGAGCGAGCGGCTCAGGGAGAGAGTGAGCGAGCGGCTCAGGGAGAGAGTGAGCGAGCGGGTCAGGGAGAGAGTGAGCGAGCGGCTCAGGGAGAGAGTGAGCGAGCGGGTCAGGGAGAGAGTGAGCGAGCGGGTCAGGGAGAGAGTGAGTGAGCGGGTCAGGGAGAGAGTGAGTAAGCGGGTCAGGGAGAGAGTGAGTGAGCGGCTCGGAGAGAGTGAGTGAGCGGCTCAGGGAGAGAGTGAGTGAGCGGCTCAGGGAGAGAGTGAGTGAGCGGCTCAGGGAGAGAGTGAGCGAGCGGGTCAGTGGAAAGGTGAGCGAGCGGGTCAGTGGGAGAGTGAGCGAGCGGGTCAGTGAGAGAGTGAGCGAGCGGGTCAGTGAGAGAGTGAGCGAGCGGCTCAGTGAGAGTGAGCGAGCGGCTCAGTGAGAGTGAGCGAGCGGCTCAGTGAGAGAGTAAGTCAGTGAGAGAGAGTGGCTGGGCTCAGGGTTAGAGGAGAGTCGTTATGGGAGCCGCTTGTGGAGAGAGACAGACAGACAGAGAGAGAGAGACAGTGTGTGAAGTGACCCTGTCAGAGATTGCGCCTTTTTACTTTTACCAAATTTTAAAAACAACTTTATTAACTCTCCTCTTAACCTTCTCTGCTCTAAAAAGGAGAACCATCCCAGCCTCTTGGGAGTAACCAATGGCGCAAAAATTGCTATCGTTTGTGCGCAGGTTTAATGGAAACTGTGGTTCAGATTTTTAAACAGCGAACATGCTTGTTTTCCTCTTACTTTAGGCATGTATTTTATTTTGGAAGGATTTCTCTTGCCCCCCCCCCCCATTCCTTTGTATTATTAATAATCTTGCATTTGATATAGCGCCTTATCATGTAGTTGAGATGTCTCAAAGTGCCTCACAGAATATACCGCAAGGTGAATTAGCTATATAGCATATATTCTTGTGATACAGAATACTTAATCTAGAAACAAAAAAATCTATTGTATCAGTACCTGCATTATATTATTATTCATTTTCCTTTAGTTTTATGCTGAGCATCACCCAGTTGTTGTCTTTACAAAGCTCAGTTTTTTTCCAGTTGACACTGGGAGTGGGGGGGAAATGCACAGTTTATGTTGAAATGTGCTATTATGTACTTTAAACGGCGATCACAAGCCCTCAGCCATCAGAAGCAGATATTATAGATCGCAGATTGCCTTTAGAGCAACCGAGTATTCCTTTTTTTAAGAGTGCCTGGCCCCTTTTAAGTTTAACATTTGACCTTTGCTGATTTATGTCGCTCTTCAATAAACAGAGCTCCATATATTCAAATGGATTTGCGATCTGCCGTAGCTTACATGGATCCTCGATGTGGACTGTTCTGTGCTACAGACCATATTTCAACACAGCTGCTCGTCTTGTTTATACAGAAGATGGCTATGGTTGAGACAGATACTTGAGTAGAGCTCGAATGACAAAAGAGTTCATGCGATTTATTCAGCTGTTATCCAAGGCCATTGAGTTGTTTTTAAATAAAAAAGGTTGCACAGCAGGTCAGTTGTGTCGCATCTAATGAAGGGATATACCTGATGTGCTGACCTATTTTTCTCTTTCAGATGCTGCTAAACCCATTGAGATTGAGACCAACACACTGCTAGCTAAATATGTTTTATATAATTCACCCTTCTTCCCATAAGCATTGCAATAGTTGTTTTTTTTAAACCTGTGGGCTGACTTGCCCAATATGCAAAATAATTAGGAAAATGTCTATTTTATCCAACAGTTGAAATAAGTAACTGTTTGCTCAGTGCTGGTGATGTGGGATGTGCAGTTTTTGAATGTCTGGAAAACCATACTTGTGAAATACATAACCTGTATGAAGTCTGCAGAATATTTCTTCAGAACGCAGGGAAGTTTGATGCACAGGTAAAATATTTAAATGACTATGTAAACATGTCTTGAGTATTAGAGATTTCAAACGTGCATTGCGATTTAAGTTGTCTGCTGCAGTGTGTTTATTTATATACATCTTGGAGCTGATGTCTTGTGTAACACTTGTTCCTCCTTTGCACTGATTAAGAAATGATGTTGAGGAAGAATCAATCTTGTGAAATTTGAACATTTGAACGGTCACATTTATCAACGGGCATCTCGTAGTGAAAACTGAAATGTAATCAGTGAAATTTAAAGCACGGTGATTGTACAAAATGAATTTGAGTCAAATCAGTACCTATCTACATTTACTGATTTAACCAGTGTACACAATCAAAACTCTATACTTTGTATCTGCAGTGGGGACCCCAGAGTGTAGCTTGCCATTAATATTGCTGTCTAGCAAGCTTTCCCGCTGCTTGTCCAATTAGGACCACCCTACCCATTAGGGCTTTGGCTTGCAGGGTTACCAGGAGCTGAGTGGGATGACTCCCTGCCCCCAATAACTGGTCTGCCCTTCCAGGTCTAGCCGATGAGCCAGGCAGGCTGTGCTGTCATTAGCAGTGCCCTGGTGCACTGCAGCCCCTTCTGGCTCAGGAACCGGATATACAAAATATTGCTCCATTGGAATGCCATCTTAGACTATATACACTGGCTATAATGAGTGAAGATGCTGCAATTGCCCCATGTCTCTGGGCTTAAGATGGAGTAAATCAGTTGAGATTCTGTTCTGCATTACTATCATTGAACCCTGTATTTGTGTGTAATTATTGAGTGTGGAAAGGATTAAACTTGTGTAGATAGTTGACCTGACTGAAGACTAGCCTGCTGGGTGAGTTACTATCATGCTGGTGATATCTGTGAAACCATCTCCAGAGTTTTTACCCTGAGGAAAAGAGAAATGATGTGGAATACTGACCAAAGTTTTCAGGTAACCTGAATTTTCAATTGAGTGATAAGTGTGTTGCATTTCTTTATGTTAGCTAGGTGTCTGGCAAATATGGGAACCCATCACCATGTTTTCGAGTATATAAACAAGCCTGGGAGTTCCACATACATGTATAACCTGCACATGGAAATTTCCCTGTGTCTGGAATGGAATGTGTACTCCTTTCCTGGAGAATGCACTCTGCTTACTCCATTTAGGAGAGTGTTAGGTGCTGGTTGGCAAGATCCAAGTCTTGGGGACCCAAGAGTCTGTGTTGGAGTACTGCTGGAGTTTAATCACCCAAAACAACATAGCTAGCCATTGAGAGCACTGTCTGTCAAGTTTCCCAGTGCCTGGCAAATTTCCCACTGCTTGTCTAGCTCGGACAACAACAAGGCAACAACAACAACAATAAGGCACCGGACAGTGAAGGACAAGTGGGGGTGACCAGTATTAACAGGAGCCCTACATCTAGTGATGAGTCTGCCCCTCCCCAGTCCTGATGATGAGCCACGCTGGCTGTTCTATCATCAGCAGTGCCTCGGAGTACTACATGTCCACTTGGCTCAGGAACCGGACAGCCAAGACCGTGACACAGAGTTTACTGAATTCAGTTGCCAAGCAAGTTCAACCGCACTTTACCTTCCCTCCTGCCAAGGGGGTTAAATTATGTTGCATGAAGAATTAGGGTGATCTTTCATACTGCCTCCCTTCTATAATTATGGTTAACATATAATCCAGATCTACCTATAGTATTATGATCTCACTGCAGTTTTAAAGACAAAATGGAGAGTATAAGGAATACAGATAAATCAAGTTGTTTTGATGTCATTTGAAATTGGGAAATCCACTCTCAATTGTTGATTCAAATATTCAGTAAAATGTATTTCTTGAAATGTTTGTACAACTATATTATTGGTAATTTCTTTAAAAGTGGTCAGCTTGCACACTCTTAACCCCAGACGACTTCTGCTTCAGTCACTAAGATTTAGAAAATGATTAATGCCAAGGTGTATGCCAAGGGAGATGGGAAATGGCAGAATATCAATTCTACTTTCCTGAGCAAAAGGAAACCATGCATCTAGGCTTTCTTTTAGTAAGTGCAAAGTAACGATATGTTTTGGATCTCCAGTCCTCCTGAAGCTCAGATTTAATGAAACCATCTACCGTTTGAATTGTTTTAATGCATGTTAGCCATCAAATTGAGCTGCCTCCTGCCGCTTCTGGCATTCTCTGAAGCTTTCTCACATGGCAGTTCATCATCGGGGGATGAGAGGGGCTGGTGGATCTAACCAAAATACTGTACTATCCATGTATAGTGCTGCAGCAATCTTTTTTAACAACAACAAGATTACACTTGTATAGCCGTTTCACATCGGGAGGACGTCCCAAGGAGCTGGACAGTGTACAGCATTTCAGACCAGAGCTGGGGTTATGGGGGGAGAGGGGAGGGGAAGCGGGTTGACTGATGGCATGGTTGAAAAGGAGGGTCTTGAGGCAGGACTTGAAGGAAATAAGAGTTGGATGTTTAAAGCAAAGTAAATAATTCAAATAAACTAATCAACAACAACAAGATTCCATTTATAGAGCGCCTTTCACGTCGGGAGGACGTCCCAAGGCGCTGTACAGTTGGGTCAGGACCCGAGCAGGGGCGAAATGGTCAGGGTGAGGGGAGGGAAGGGAGGAGGCGGTAGAGAGTCGAGAGGGGAGCTGAAGGCACGGTCAAAGAGAAAGGTCTTGAGACCAGCCTTGAAGGAGGAAAGGGAGGAGGCAAGGTGAAGGCACTGGGGGATAGAGTTCCAGAGCCTAGGGGCTGAGAGGCTGAATAATCCTCTGAGATAATCCTATCTAAAGTCTAACTAGGGCCCAAATTAAAGAGTGGTTCTCTTTAACATACAGCACAGGAGATTTCTTTCATAAACTGCACTAAGGTTTGGAATTTGCTCTTGTGTGAGCTGGGTTGAGTCCCCGTAAAACCGGGTTTGTCATGTAATGTAAATTTATTTGTGAATTTGAATTGTTTACATTGCCAAAGATGGATGTTCTGACAGTTTTTAGATTCTTGCAATGGTTTTGTTTTTTCTAGAAAAACTACTAAACATAAGTTTTAGCCTATCTGAAACATCTTCCCTCCCTTCCTCAGAAAGCGTTAAATTTGGCAGTCTTTCTTGGTGTCCCCAGGCCAGAGCATTATTGACTAATATTGTGCACTTAAGTGTAAGAGCAATCAGAGTGATTTTTTTCCCCTAAAACTACTCTTCCCTTTATCACCCACCCCCATCTCATCCCCGGAAAAAAATCACTGGGTCCTTTCTCTTTGTCTCTTTGTATCCTCATGATAATGTGCTAACTCTGGTCACTTACAGCCTGGGGAACATTGCACTGTGTCGTACTCGGTGCACTAGGCAGAGATTTTAACTTGCCCTGCTGTCTTCTGTTTTGAAACTAGACAGACTTGCTTATCAAGTTTTCCTCTCTCTGATTGGTGCATAAACAAAAAGCTCTCCTGACTTCTGTTCCCTTTGTGTTCTTTCAAGCGACACCAACTGCACAAAAAGAGGAATCGTCCACATGTGGGTGGCTTGAATCCAAATCCCAAATGTTAAAATCAGTAAAATAAGAAAGAAATGTTCCTGCCTCCCAAGAATACAGGAGATCGCAATGCCAATGTGTATACAGGCAACACAACTATTTGGCGGTCAAAAGTCTTGTTGGTACATAGGTATTGGTTAGAATTATGCATACATAAGAGAGAAAAAAATAGAGGAATATAGGAGAGAGGAATAGGTGTGGAGTATAAACGCTGGGGTGGATCGGTTAGGCCAAATAGTCTGTTTCCGTACTGTATCACTATGTAAATCTGAGAACTGACCTGAATGTAAATACTGTACTTTGCACCAGTATGATTATGGAGATTTGCAAACTTAAGTTTGATTCGTTAGATAGACAAATAATGGATTCAGCAAATCAGTATACAAAGATATAACATAAATAAGCATATTTGCATATAAAGTAATTAACTTGTGGGTTTGAAGGATGCAGTTATTAAAACTTTTTTCTTTTTTTAATAGGGAAAACTGTTTATCAAAGACTTCCTGAAGTGTAATGCTAATGGGATTAAGTCAAGATTCAGCTGTAATATTCGCAGATGTTCAGTAATACAGGAAATCCTTTCTGAACTGCAGAAGGATTGTTACCAGAACTTTGACATCTGTGCCATAGCACATGATAATGTAAATGCTTTTGCAGAAATGATTGACTTACATGATCTGCTGTTAAATGGGTAAGTACATACTGGGTCATCTACAGTCTAGAGAAATGCATCTTTCATTCTTAGATTAAGTCCCCAACAAAACTATATATTGGAGTTAACTTATCATATCAACTGTACCTGCCTAAACTGTGCTACCAGATAACCATGCTATGTTTTTTCATTATGACTTGAATATTTTTTAAACAATACCTTTTATAAACATTTTGAAGAGCTCATATTGCGATTCCAAATTTTATAGGAAACATTTAGGCCCCGGTTAGACATCCTGTCTCATGTTCCCATAACTCGCATGTATCACCTCCTATATTTTTCAGAGTAGATTGTGTAAATGAGGTGCTTTTCTCATGGTGGTTTGATACAGAATGGGGGAAAGAAGTCTTCAGCAAAAGATCAGAAGTGCACCTTTCTCTCATTAGCTCACCTTATGCCATTTTGGCGTTGGGGAGGAAGAGAACGAGAAGAGGAGAAAGTGAGAGAGAAATCTTTAAGGCCTTTGCCTTCATTTGTACATAAAGTGTTCCTCTGAGCTGATTCCACAGTGCCTGGCAAATAGCAAAGTGTGAAATTCAATGCTGAGTGTTCCAAATGCTGAGCATTCCTTAACCAGCATTTCAAGCAATCGTTAATGGTTGCTCATGGGGGAAGGCCAGTTTACCCAGCTTTGAAGGCAGAACATCTGTGCCTGCCTAGACTAAGACCAAAATTATAGTTTTTTAAATCAATTTAATGTGTCCAATTTTTAAAATTCTCTCCGTTGGCAAATGTTCTCCCCTCTGCTCCTGGTCTGGCTTGTTGCTAGGGTGCGGTTTCCCAATTGCTTATCAGCCTCTGGTGCCCTGTCCCAAGTGGCCATTGCTGATGTGTGAGCCTTTGCAGTGAGTATCAACAGTTCCCTGACCAGAGTATCACAGCTGAGCCTGCAGTTTCCCCACCAGGCTGCCACACACGTGTACAACCAGTAGAGGGTGCTGTAAAGGAATAGGAGCAGGTTTTCTCCTCCACAACCCTGGGAAGCCTGGGTCCAACTTAAGCCTCCACCTGAACCTGTTACAGGTGTCACTATATTCACCATTTGGGGTTCCGAATCATGGCTCCTTAGCTGTTGGATTAAAGCTGCATGTCATCGATCTAAAGAGAGCTGATAACTTATTTTAGGAACACATTTTGTTTATCCTCTGATTCAGCTGGAATTAATGGGTGCTGCCCCTTTAAGAGAATCCTCCAAATAAAATTGGTCGCTCATTGCATGGCTGTTTGTGGGACACTGCTTGCACAGCTGGCTACCGCGTTTTGCACACAAAATACAGTCAATCCACTTTACAGTGCATCCTGTGAAGCGCTTTGATACATCTCAATGACGTGATAAGGCACTATATCAAATGCGAGGATTATTATTACTACCAAGATGAGTTAACTGCGATGCATTTTTATAAACTGGGCTCTTTACGGAATGTAATATCAATATTCTCTTTAGCAATTGGAAATCTGTGTCGTCCAGAATGAAACTGGTATTGCTCTTCTAATGCTGAAGTTTCCAGAAGATAACATGCTCAGCACATTAAAACTCAGTCTCGATATCCTCCGAATATTAGCTTTAAGACTGTCATTGAAGAAATGCAACATTTTGGAAATTCTTAATTTGGAAATTAGTTTTAGACTAGTTAGATACTACCACTGTTAAACTTTCTTGGAGGAAATAAAATGTTACCATTTGATGATTGCAGGGCAGTTGGACAGACTTTTTATTTGTATGGATTTGCATTTCAATATAATTATACTAAAGCTTGTAGGAATTTTAAATATTTTTACAGTGCAGCAGTAAATATTTGTCTGTCCATATAATACTTGCTACTCTGAAATAAGCAAATCTGGCCAATAATACAAGTCAGTATTTATTTTATTAGGTTAATTGATCTTAAACTTCTAGCTCCTTAAAATAAATCAAAACATTTTAGGGTTGAAACTTCATCAGTCTTTAAAAATATTGGTTTTGATGGCAGCACGGCAGTGAAGTACTAATCAAGCTCTGGGCCTCCATAATAGTAATTTCAAGTCAACAGAGGAACAGTTAGGAACAAAGCAATGTATAAAGTTAAGGTCCTTGTTCCTACATTGGACTGAAGGAAGGCACCTTGGATAGAGGTGACTGCGATTATATAGGAGACTACATTATATTTTCAATGTGCTGTGTTATGGAGTATTTAGAAGCTGTAAAAAGCAGTAGTAACAAGTTCCAAATGTCTGAATGTGATTGCCTTCTCCACTCCTCTGCTTGCTTCCTGTCGCTCACCAGACCTGGTGCATGTCCCCGCTCTCTCTGACACCACCAATGGCCGAGCTTTATGCTACAATGCCCCCAACCTCTGGAACTATCTCCCTCTAACCCTTCTGTCTTTATTTCTCTTTATCTTTAAATCCTAAAAACCTATTCTCTTCAATCATGTCTATAGTCACCTTCCCCATCTCCCTCCTCCTATTTTTCTTTGGCATCCAACCCCATTTTGTAGCAGTCTGAGACGTTACCCTACATGAAGGGTGCTTTATAATTGCAAGTTATTTAAATTTGCCTGAAGATTAGTTTCTTTTGTACATTCATATTATGAATCTTGTACCTAATCCTTGCATTACATCTTTCCTTAGAACATGGGCTTTATGAACATGTACCGTTTGTTTTTCTCTCAAGGGTACTGGATGAATTACAAAGATCCGTAGAACCTAACTTTTTTTATATAAAATTCTTTTTCAACAGAGCATACTTGGAATTTGTAAAGGTCTTGTTTGATTGTGATGTCCATATTGTGGATGTCATAAAGAAAAGCATACGGTCTCGTTATGAATCAAATCTGAGTATTTTAAGACGAATGGTACAAGATGACACTTGTACTTCTGCACAAAAAGTGAAACCCGAGGATGGAAATCCAACGGCAGGATCTGCTGAGAGACCCAGAAAGGTCAGCAAGAAAGGAAGAAGTGCTGATCTTGACAACGCTACATCGTCTAGAGATGATTACTGGAATCAGAAAAGGGAGAAAGCCAGGCAGAGGTTTCAGTAAAATATCCTCTTAACTGTTGGCTGATTTCAGGCTCACATTTTGGGTGCTGATGTAAGCAAAAACTCCATTTTTTTTTAAAGGAAAAGTGCTCTAATTTTTGTGATGCAGCTTCTGTAACAATTACCTGATGTGTAATTGAGCTGTAAATGGTGTTTATTAGTGGGTGCAACTGTTTCAATCGCATCATCTCACTTTCTATTTGTTGATTTTTTTTTGTTTCCTCCCCCAACTCACCATGTCTGCTGCTGTAGACATTTCATTCTACATTTCCTCTGCACAATGCTTATTCCTGAACAGTATTGCTACCTTTATAGTATAAGTAAATGGTTTAATAGTGTAAAATATGCACCAAAGGTGTATTCCATGTTTTGGGGTTGATATTGAAACCACTCATTCCTGGCACTATGATCAGTGTTGCTACATTTATAGTAAATGGTTTAACAATTTAAAATGTGCACAAAGTCTGTTCCATGTTTGGGATTTGTATCTAAACCACTCCAGATTCTCCTGCAGTATGATCACATGTGAACTCACTTGATGAAAATATTTTTGCTTAAATAATTTGGAGGCTTGCACCAAACGTATTGTTTGGGGGGGGGGGACAGAAGGAAATAGCCTCTGACTTTTTAGAAATTTAGTTATTAAATTAAGATCTCTATGTACTGCAGATCTGAAGAATTTTTATTTGTATAGTGCTTTATATCCGTCTCAAAGCACTTCACAGTAATTACTGTAAAATGTAGTGCCTGTTTTTGTAGGCAAACAGGCCGTCTACTTAATGAAATGATCTTTGCTTTAACGTTTGAAAGGTTTGAATTGAAATTCAGTTCAAAATGATTTTATATATCGAATCAGCAAAGATGTAAATAGTTGTACAGTGGATTTTGTTGTGCAGGCAATTACTTGCACTGTTGATCTATTAAACACATACTTGATTCTTTTGGTTTTTTTGAACTCTGTTTTATCTTGCAATCTGCACAATACAAGAGTCTTATACCCTCTATCAGGATCAAGTGTTTGTTTTAAGTATCAACACCTTGAATTTCTTTCATATGGTTTGCTACTGGTAATGGTCTTTTCTTTCCCCTGTCATGTCTTGCAGGGATGGGGATAGATATCCACTGGAATGAAGGCAATGAATGCATTGGTGCCATAATGGTATCTGCCAGTGGTGTTGACCAATCTCTAAGGCAATCTACTTGACTGTCACAGCAACTGACTATATCATAGTCAGTAAGGTGACAGAAAACAGTCTGTCCCATCATTAAATGTGCTACATTACAAATCCTAATCCCCAATCCCACAGTAGTTTTCAGCGATTGAAATGTTCAAGAGCATTCCAGCACTTGTCTCCTTGGCTACTTTGGCTGGCTCTTGTCCAATGCCCTGTGCTCCCTCTTGTTTCTTCCTCACTATTGTAACTTTGCATAGAAGATTAACCTATCTTCCCTATCCATTCAGTTCCTATCTCTGGAACACTCACAGAGTGCTTCTCCCCTCATCCCCATTTTATTGTTATTTTGAGCACAAGTATACAGTATATATATTTTGGGCTGCACATCAACTGTGATTGAGGAAGGTGAGCTTGTTCCTTTCTTCTTTGTATCCTGCTATTACTCACCAATACTGGAAAGTAAACAACGTACCTGGTACTATATGTGTATTGTTTCTTGTTTCACCACTTCCACCCACACACCCTTGAGAGATGCATAGTGTTTGTTACCATTTCCTATGCCAGTAATAATAATAATAATAATAATCCTTGCATTTGATATAGCGCTTTTCACGTCGGGAGGACGTCCCAAAGCGCTTCACAGAACACACTGTAAAGTGAATTGACTATATTTGCGGGCGAACGCGGCAGCCAATTGCGCACAGCAATGTCCCACAAACAGTCATAGATTAAAAATGACCAATTTATTATTGTTTTTGTTTTTTTGGAGGGATTATTATTAGGCGTGTGGAGTAAGGAAACTTGCCCAAGGTTTCGCCCTCTGCCTGGAATTGAACTCAGGTCTCTCACTTGCAAAGCGAGTGCTCTAACCACTGAGCTACAGGACTGCCAGTAGTGGCAGAGATGGAGAATACGAGAAAAGGATGGACCTTGTGTCCTTCAACATTTAGTTTGTTATGCTTCTAAACTGTCATTCTTCTCTTGTGTTTCAACATCTCTAGATAACTTCCCCAGTAAACAATTCCTCTAGCTTGCTGCTTTCTCTATTGAAACTAGGAAGTTGATGCGGTTGAGTGTGTTGTGTATATTTAACTCTGAGAAAGTGAATGACAAATGGATATGGGCTTCCAATTGGCTTTCGAATAATCTGAAAGTTCAAACCAGTAACATCTTTAAACTGACACTGGACAATCTGTTCTATTTATAAATCATGATGTTCCTCCCAAATAGTGATAGTGCTTATGAATTTAATGTGCAATTTGATAACCGTGGTAGTTGAGCATTACAAGCTACGCTGTGTCTTACAAGGATGTCTTTTATAATTACATTTTTCAGCTGATCAATAAAACTCATTAAATGTTACTTTGTTTAATTTTTTTAAAAAATTGAAATCGTATGAGCTAGAATTACTCCAATCTATTGGCTATTTCACCTATTTTAACTGATAATTTACACAGTTCCTGTTAACGCAGTGACATTTCATAGCTTTGACAGTTACTTAGAGTGGTTTATTTTTAAAACAGATACTTAAGTCTTCATTTGGCTGTGCCATGGCATTTTAGATGAGATGAAAACTCTCATCTGCTAATGTAATACCAAATGCTGATTTTAGGTTGGGCTTCAGAAAGTAAACCTATGTCCTGTTTACGCATCCTCTGCCTGGCTGAAATAATGCTGTGTCAGTTTAGTACTATGAAGATACAGTAGAGGTGGTGAGTAATGTGATTGAACCTATTTAAACATGCAATGATAGTATTTTCAGACAACACAGATGCATTTAAGAGGAAGCTAAATGTACACATGAAGGAAGGGAATAGCATAGTTTAGTATGGAGTAAGCAATGGGAGGAGACTCGTATGGATTATAAATCCAGCCCAGACGAGAGGAGCTGAATGGTCTGTTTCTGTGCTGTACAATCGACAGAAGATGGGTCACCACTATTCAATACAAGAAGGTGGGTGAGCTGGATAATTCTAATTCATTTGGGGGGAATGGTAGTGAATACTAAATAACATTTAAATAATAGCAATTCATTGAATAGGTTAACGTTAGCAAATGCAGAATTCTGCTCATTGGCATGTTATTTGTGATGAAGAAGTGGGAGTCAGTTCAATTTCAACAGGGAAAGGGTTATTAAACATTTAATGATTTTTTTCAAGTCTCTGAAGTGGTAATGTATGAGCTAATGGGTAGCAAAAATATCAAGAAAATTAAATTCAATTTCAAACGGAGAAAGGGTGGAATAACCTGTTTGTTGACTTTAGTAATACACTATGCTTATTTGCACTGTAATCCATGCCTCTGAATCTACCCTTATGTATTTACCTATCTGGGGGAATCAGATTTCAAAAATGCCATCACTTTTTACTATTGGACCTAGAGAATCCTTGGACATTGACAACATACGGTTTATAGTGCAATTCCTACTGGAATCCAAACACCGGGGTCTAATGTATGGCCTATGCTAACCATGGGAATTACAAGTGCCATTAAATTATGTAATTAGCCAATTGCTGTTGAGTTCCTCTACAAATACATAGTCACTACAATTTATCAAAAATTCTATGAAGCACTATGAGGCATTTCAAATGTGATGTTATTATGAAATACAAGGGTCATTAATGAATTACAGCCAAAACGTGAGATCACAAGAACAGGCTCTGAATGGCCTCCTTCCCTTTTTAGGTAGCTTACTTTGCACATTGTGCACTTACTTGGATTAGTTTGACAAACAAAAGTAATGCCAGTAAACATTCCCTTAAGCATTCCATATTGTAAAATTGAACAATACTGGATCACTATATAATTTGATATTAGCTTTGAAAGCTAGTTCTCTTGTTTTGTAACAGTATCAAAATGTTCACTTTTCATTTTATAAAATAATATTCCTCCCATTTAACATAGCACCTTATTGAAGCATTGAAAAGACTCAAAGCATTCACTGGATTTACTCTAAAATGCAGTGACCATCTATTTTGGTAGATAATCACAGCAGCCAGTTTCACACAATAATGACCCACAAGTAGACATTAAGTGAATGACCAATTTTATCTAGCAAATTTGGTATCCAGGTCACTAATCTGTTATCCTGTTACCTTCTTGAATAGTTATAGGATCTTTAACATTCACCTGAACAGGCAGATGAGGCCATAGTTTAAGGTCTCATCCGAAGGATGGCACCGCCAATGATTAAGTGCTTTCTTAGCATTGCATTGGAGTGTAATCCTAGACTGAGCTTTCCTGATGTGGGGCTTGAACCCACAACTTTCTGATATATTGAGCCAGGCTAACCCCTGTGGCTACATATCTGTATATGTACATCAATCTTATCAGTACAACATAAAATGTTGATTTCAAAATTTAAAATGGGAAATATATTTTTCTCATGAAAATACTGTTTTCTTTCAGACCTAGTTGATGATTATTCAGGTTATAGTTAATAAATATGAGAAATAGTTCTGTATAGAGCGCCATCATGTGGTGTGAATTTGTTTTTGCAGTGGACAGAAAAGGAACAAAAATATGTGAGGACGTGGTAAAGATAATAATTCTTGCATTTGATATAGCGCCGTATCAAGTCATTGAAATCTCTCAAAGCTTTTGCAGAATATACTGGAAAGTAGATTCAACCTCCCTGGGCTCTCCCTCACACTCACCAAACCAGTGCACAATTTAGGCGTCCAGTTCGGCCCGCAGCTTTTATTCCTCCCCCACATCCAGTCCCTGCCCATCTTCCACTTCCGCCACATTACCCGCCTCTAACCGTACCTTAGCCCAAATACAGCCGACTATATTTTGTAGTCAAAACGTGGCAGCCAATTGCACACAGGAGTGCCCCACAAACAGTCATAGATTGAATGACCAAACTTTTGTATTCAAATTTAATTTGTATCATTGTGGTCGATTTGTTAAAATATTAGTAATAAATGTTAAATTACTGATTTTTAAAAAAAAAAGCTTTGGTTGTTGAGGCCTATTGTAATGTCCCAACAAAAGATCTTTCTCTTTGACCGTGTCTATGGCAAAGCTCCCCTCTCTCCCTAGCTCGGTGTCAAGCTCCGCCACTGTTAAGTGCTCTGAGACTCTACACGTGTGAAGGGTGCTTGTTGAAGCAGAAATCACAATTCAGGAATTGAACTTGCGATCTGCTCTAGACTGTGCGGCACAGAGTTGTACCAAGTGGTTCCTTATAATAATGCTTGCATTTGATATAGCATCCTATCACGTCAAAATGCCTCAAAGCATTTCACAGTAATTAATGTTAAGCATCGAGACTGTACATTTGTACGCAAAACATGGCAGACAATTTGCGCACAGCAATGATCCACAAACAGCCGAGAGGTGAATGAATTTAGAGGAGGGTTGTTGGCCAGGATTTTGGAAGAAACTCCTCTTTTTGAATAATGCCATTGGATCTTTAATGACTACCTGAGCAGGCAGACAGGATATCAGGTTTAACATCTCATTCCTAAGGTCTCAATTTACTTGCCCATTGGAGGAACTTTTTATTGGACTTTATAGCACAGCTATTAACCTGTTTACCTCTTACCATTGCCTGGATCAATATTTTGGAATCAGGTTTCCAACAACTAAATTGTTCCATAATAATAGTGTAACTTCGCCCAAAAAATACAGTCAATTCATTTTACAGTATATTCTGTGAAGCGCTTCGAGATGTCTTGAAAATGTCACAAGGTGCTATCTCAAATGCAAGGATTATTATTATTAACACCAACGTAACTTCTTTTATAAAGTTTCTCAGCAATTGCACCCTGCTGGTAGAAATTGCTACTACTTGCGTTTATATAGTGCCACTCACGCAGGGTAGCTTCTCAGAGCGCTTGTCTGTGGCGGAGCACAACACCAAGTTATGCGTATTAATAGTTATAAATAATGTAACATAATGTAATCATGTTATATTATTAATGACTATAATTACCACTGTGAACTGTTGGTAATTTCAAAAACATAACCATCAAAAGTGCCTACAACATACACAGTAACCATACTATACAATATATCCTGTGAAGTGCCTCGAAATGTCCTCTCATCATGAAAGGTACTGTATCAAATGCAAGGGTTATTATTTTATTAAAGAATGAGATGCTTGTGAATGATCATTGCTAATCTGGCCATGATCAGTATCATGGCCAGTATCAGGAATACTGTAGTAACTAAATCAATATTTTGAAATGGAGGTATTTATGTGGTGCACATGAATATTACAAGGAAAGCATACCTTTAACTTTCAGTGACCCTACTTTTGCATGTCATGGTGCATTGCCAGATGTTTTTATTATTCTAGTTGTTTAAGACAAACCTGCTGCATGTCAAGCTGAATTATTGAAAGTGCTAACAGTTTATAATATGCTTGTCACATTTCACAGAGACACTCCAAATAAGGCTGCCACACTCTACCTAGACTGTGTACAAATGTCTGCGGGTTCACTGAACTGCTTACTGTGCAGTTTTAGCAAC